CAACAGAATGGAACACCGCCCAGCCCGGCACCAGCTGCACAATTGCCCTTACATTTGAATCTATTGGTGTAGCCACTGTGCCAATCCACCATGGGGAGGGTCTTCCTTTTCCTCCGCGCCCCTGTACCTTACATACCCAATGTCCCTCTCCAGGGACTGGTTTCTCCTGGTAACACGTTCAAAGTACGTGAGACGCAGTCTTGCCATCCTTTCTTTTAAGGAGGCTTCTGGTTGTCCTGCCAACGCATATCAGCCTTCTACAGCGTCCTCGAGACTGCTAAGCTTTCCATGAGCAGATAGCCTCGCCTTCCTCCGGCAGAGTAGCTGGTGGGTTGAAACCTCTGACCGTGGGTAGCCCAACACATAACCCACAGCACCACCAGGGCTCCTTTCCACAGAACAAGTGCGATGGAAATAGTGAGAATGCTGACACGTTTGAAAGTAGATGATGAGTATCACTGAGCCCTAGGCACAGAAAGTATAGCACACTTCCCTAGTTTCTAGAGCGCTGGTGGAGTTGTGGTTTCTACTCCTGAGAAGAGTCAGGGTCTTGGAAACTAACAGGGGTAGGTCTAGCCTGTCTTTTAGGGTCGCCATGAGTCAGAACTAACTCGATGGCAGTGAGTTTGGGTTTTGTACCTAATTTTCTGTGCCGACCCACCAAAAGTGCAAGAAAATATATATTTTTTAAATCATTTTATTGGGGGCTCGTACAACTCTTATCACAATCCATACATTCATCCATTGTGTCGAGCACTTTTGTACATTCGTTGCCATCATCATTCTCAAAACATTTGCTTTCTACTTAAGCCCTTGGTATCAGCTCATTTTCCCCTCCCTCCCTGCTCCCCTCCTCCCCCATGAATCCCTGATAATTTATAAATTATTATTATTTTGTCATATCTTACAAGGTCCTATGTCTCCCTTCACCCACTTCTCCGCTGTCCATCCCCTAGGGAGGAGGTTATATGTAGATCCTTGTAATCTGTTGCCCCTTTCTCCATCACCTTCTCTCCACCCTCCCGAAGAAAATATAATTTTAACGGAGCAGAATAGGCACAGAGACACCCGGGGAAGAGCGACAGTGTGAGAAGAGCCAGGGCACTGCGGGCTGCCGGCAGGCACCAGAACCAGTCTCACTGCCACAGACGAACTAGGAAAACAGCCTGCAGAAGGAATTGACACCAGGAGACCCTGATTTGAACTTCTGGCCTCCAGCACTATGGGAAAACACCTTTGTTCATCAAAACTTTTGTTAAGGCCACCCTCGGTAAGCTAAGAACCACCCACTGTTCGCGCTTTCAGTTTCAAATCTCACCTTCTGGGAGAGAGGGTTCTAACCACTCCAGCTCTGGTACTTTCTCTGATACTCTCTGATGCCCTGACAGTTCCATGGGGGTCCCTTCTATACGAAACCATCCAACCTGTGGAGTGCGGAACTATTTTTGGCCTGTCCTTATTCTCCCACTGAAGCGTGCATCCCCAGAAGAACGAACCTGGTTTAGTTTGTTCATCATTCTACCTATTGGGTCCAGCACAGTGCCTCACTCATCCTATGACGCAGGGACTGCCATGAAACAAATGGCTCAGCATTTTAAAGGCTGGCTTGCTGTAGGTGGGGACTCTGAAGCAGTCTTGCTGGAGGGCTGCTACTCAGGGTGGCGCATGCGGTTGCCACCAGCTGGGGCTACAGACAGCCAAAGGCTTGACTCAGCCTGGAAGGTCCACTTCCACGGTAGCTTGCTCACAGGGTTTTGGGAGGAGGCCTTGGTTCCTCCCTGGCTGTGGTAGCACAGCCCAGTTCCGCCCCACACAGGGCTTTCCATTGTCCTGCCTGGGTGTACGCATGGTGAGGAAATGGGCTTCCCTCACAGCAAGTAAGCCCACGCTTACATCTTGTCATTTCCTCAATAGTCCATCGGTTACACAAGCCCGCACGATGCTTTTGAAAGGGGGTTGGTGACAAAAGGGCACCTTTTTAGGGGTTGACTACACACGCCATCTCAGAGGCTGTCCACCACACACTCACACGCTGGTGGTTCAACCAAAGCATTGGCGACAGATACATTCGGGGTTATTTTTGTAGTTTAGTTCTTACAGAGTCATCTTTTTCTTACATGTTTGAACAAAAATCAAACAAAACTGTTAGAACAAACCCCCACCCCTACCTCCATGACTGCCCCCAAAGCCTATTTCATTTCATTTTCTTGAAAAACAAGGATGTCATGATCATATTTTTGCAGACATTTTGTCTGCGTCTTAGGACCAACTGGATAAAATCTTTTCAATTGGGATCATATCAGAAAATGTGTGCATGATGGCTGCTCTATGTACAACTATGAATTGGAATATTCTATTCCTTCCATCTCTGTACAACCTCCTCATTTCCAAAGCATCCATCTAACAAATCATCTCTTTTTAACTCTGAGAGGAAGGCAGGTTATGTTTTATTCCAGTTTTATGGAAGAAGACACCTACTGCATCCCAATTTTAGGAAGAAGCATAGCAAGGCTGGAATTTAGATCTTGATTCCTAATCCAATAGGAGTGCAGGCCACCAAGGAAGATTGCAAGGAGCAACTGTGCCTCAGACAAGCTGGGTTATGTTCCAGGAAAAGCAACCCCAGCACCTCAGTACTTGCAACGTGAGCAGGGCTCGCTTCTTGTTCATATAAAGGCCCATGCAGGTGGGTTGAACTTCCAAGGCAATTCCTCTCCAGATAGCAACTTCCCGATCCACCTCTGCCCTCCGACAATTGTCCGATGGCCTCCTGGGTCGCCACACAAGGAAGAAAATCTTGGGATGAGAATGAAATGCTTTGTCCTAGAAGTACAGGTATGCTGTCCCTGACAGTCCATGGGCCAGAACTAGTCACGTGGCTCACCTGACTGCAAGGAGACCCAACTAGCAGCTTCCTGTGGTCCCAGGACATGGACAAGCACTACAATTCCCCACCAGGAGCCAGGCAATGCCGAATAGATGGGATTTGCAGAGGCTGGCAGAGGCCCTCTAGAATGCTGATGAGAACGGTGGAAGGAAAAGAGCATGTCGACACACAGTGAATGCCTGAGGGCATCTCAGGGCTGGGTTCTTGACAATCTTGATCTTGACAATCACCCAATGAGATAGATATCAACCCTTCTCTTTTTTTCTCTCAAACGGTGTAGTAAACTGAAGCTCACAGAGGTTGTATACTGTACCCCAGTTCTCATACTGGTAAACAGAAGGAAGTCGATTCCCTTTAAAGGCATCACTTTTACATCCTCGCGGCACTATAGGACGGAGTACAAGTGCCCACGGGGTTTCCAAGGCTGCAGTCTTTCTAGAAGCAGACTGCCACATCTTTCGCCCTCAGAGTGCTACTGGATTTGAACCCCCAGCCCCAGGGGCTTTAAAGACTATCCCACCAAGGTCTCTCTGACTTCCTTAGGCTCCTTTCCTCTTTCTTTCAGTTTTACATAGTGATCCCTTTTCCATTCTGTACTTCCAAACCCCAAATTCATTGTCATCAACTTGTTTATAACTCACAGCGACTATACCTCTAGGACACAGTGCAATTGGCCACAGGGTTCCCATGCTGTTGGTCCTTACAGAAGCGACCACCACATCTTTCTCCATCATTCTCACTGATGCGTCCCCACAGCTGTCCTCGTGGTCAGCTGCACTTAGCCACTGCATCACCAGGGCTCCTTTTCCAAGCCCTAACAGATGATTTTGATATGGGAGGCTATCAGGGAGGTATGCATAGTGAGCTCACAGATGTCCATTGTATAATTCTTTATACTTTTTCTGTCTTAGATATTTCAAGGCACTGTTTTTGAAGAGTAGCATATATTGTCGGAGAATTAGTGATCTCTTCATGATTGCTTCTTTCCTTAAGGGGGTAGGAACTGCTTTCTATGAATGTTGGCTGCCAGCAAGCAGAAAGACGGTGCTATTGACTCCCCTGCCACGCCGGAAACCGTTTATCTGCATTTTATTGTCTATGCAAAGGCACCCCACTGTCTAAATCATGGCTAGGTAGGGATCACGTTGTGAAGAATGGCAATTCCAGAGTGTCGGCATTTAAGTCACACACTATGTCCCAGATTATTTTAAATAATTTGTTTACATGTAAATTATCTCACCAATCCAACAACCCAATGAGGAAGATACTATTATTACTGATGAGTAAATTAAAACAATTAGAAAGTAGGTCATTTACCTAAAGTCACTCCGCTGGCTAAGGGAAAGAAACTGGATTTGAACGCACCACTCCGGTCTAGGACATGCACACGTAGCCACTGCTCTGCAATGCCTCCCAGAAGAGGTGGCCACCAGGCTGACCTGCAGAGGTAGGTGAGCGAAAATCTTTTGCAAGTCTCCTACACAATGCCTGTTACATTCCCTAGAAATTTACTTCCAGTTCCACAGGGAGTTCAAAATAACTTTCCCATGACCACTCAAGTAGGCGATTCCAAAGAATGTTTAGTGCGTGGGCGGACTAGCCAGGACTGGATGAAGAGGAAGGACCAGATGATAATCAACAGTCGTATCTCCCAAGGAAATTTCCGTGGCAAAGGAGGCTGGGGCTGGGGAGGGATTTAAGAGTCCGGAAGGTCAAGCGGTTCAGTTCAGTTATCGTTTTCTCCAGGTGGGACGGGAAGCTATAAAAATACAGTTTGGGGTTACTGCAGTCGTTGCTGCGGATCACAAACCACACACTTCAGTTTTGGATTGCAGGGTAAGGAATTCCCACGTGGGAAGCCTAGCCACGGAGCGCGGGACCAGCGCTGCGCCTGCGCCGTAGCGTCGCTTCCTGGAGGACCACCGCCTGGGGGCGCGCGCGCCCCGCTCGGCCTCTCTGTCTCCCCGTCCGTCGCTCCCCACTGCTCGTCGGGCCCAGCCTGCGGAGAAGGCGGAAGCTGGGCGTTCCGTGGCTCGGGCTCGGGCTCGGGCTCCCGGCTGCGCGGGACGCCAAGCAGGTGACTTTGGAGCCGCGAGATTGGCGTCCGGGCCGCCCCGGCGGCTCCGCCTGCGGTGCCGAACTCTCCGGACGCCTTCGCTGAGCAGAGTCGGGCGGCCCGGGGGAACCCTGCCTTGCTTGTCCGGCGGCCCAGCAGACGCGAGCGGTGAGTGTCCTTCGGACGCCTCCTCCCGGCGGCCGTGGCCTCGCTTCCTCGGGCTGGGGACTCTGCCCCCGTCCCTAGTTTCCCACACACTGGGGGCGCCGACCCTTCTCCCTTTGCTGCGCACAGGTTGCAGGCGCCGCCCCCTTTTCCATCTACTTGCTGCTTGGGGCGCACCCCGACCCCCTTTCCCCTGCTCTGCGGGCCCGCGGGGACCACCGGCTCCCGCGCTGCCCCCACTCCAGGGACAGACCCCGAGCCCCGCTTCCTCGGCCTTGCCTCCCCTCACCCTCCCATTCCTCTTCCCAGAAAAGGAAACTGCCTTCGGGTTTCCCCGTCTTGGAGAACTGCTACGAGCTTTTAAGAAAACCCCTCTCAAATTCCCACCGACTCCTTCTGTCACCATCACGAGTGGCAGCGCTATTTTGGGGTTCCCGCATGATCGCGATTGAAGTCCCCGGCTGAAAGTTTAAAGAAAAAAGAAAAGAAAGGTTTCAAATGACACGAATGCTTCCTCCCCGCCCCTGCACTGGCGCGTTCTAGCGATCGTTCCAGACGTCGTGTTGATAAAGCTGTTCCTAGTATTTGGCTTTAGGGGAACTCCAGCCAAGAGTTCGCGGCCGTCTTGACTGTGAGCAGAAAACACCTAAAGTCTCCGTAGCTTGGATGACTCTCATTTGCATGTTTCTTTTCTGGGAAAAGCAGATAACCAAGTGTTGGACCACGCAGGTTATGGAAACGAGGAAGACTTGGGAGGAAATGCCGATTGAGCCCTTGACAATCTGGCCACTCGCTCCCATGAAACCATCCTGGTGCCGTGACTGGAGAAAAATCCAAACCAAACCAACTGCCAATCGAGTTGATTCCAAGCCATAGGCGGCTCTGTCTCTATAGGGTGCCCAAAACTAGAAAGCCAAGCTCACTGCCATTCATAGGACTCCAACACCTTGCGGTCCTATAGGCTCCTAACTGCCCCTGTGACTTAAAGAGTAATGAGACTAAATCTTTACATGAGCGGACGCCTTCTTCCATGGACCTGGTGGTTAGCCCAGTGCCTTACCCACAGCCTCTCCACGACTCCTTGATTACTAAGAGGTGATGGATTTTCTGATTTGGAGTTGGGGTAAGGGAGTAAGGACCATATGGCCTCTTTTGTGATTCAAGGTGCTTGTTGCTTATGTGACGATAGACACAAGGTTCATATCAGAGCCTCCGTGTATGCAGTGCTTCAAAAAAGTTGGTGGGAAAATTCCATTATCTTGCCATTCCATTTTCCCACCAACTTTTTGAAGCCCCCGGGCAGTGACGCTGATCAGGTTTTTCGTTTTGGATCGCTTTGAAAGAAGTTGAAATCCTTGCCCCTTCTGAAGGGGATCAGATAGTCCTTGGATTCCAAATGAAAGCGCCACAATTAAATATCCTCCTGCAGTTCTTGTCCACCTTTGCAGGTCTTTGCATATTAGGAGTAGGTTTTAAGGAATTAACAGGTAGTCCCTGCTTCGAAAGCAACTCGCAAATTATAGCATTCTATTTCTAGTAGTTTATTTTACATAGTTTTGCTTTATCTGAGTTGCGTGTTACCTGAGTTGTATGTTTAGCCATGGATGGGTTTCAGTTGATGCAAAGTTGACTCTTTCAAGCCCTAACTTGTTGATTTCTTTAGCTTGACACATTAATATCTTTTTGGCTTTGTGGATGGCCTTACTCTTCCTATCCCTGTGGAGTCCCACAGCACACCCTCTGTACCAGCGGTTTTCAGCCTGTGGGTCGCAACCCCTTTCACAGGGGGTGCCCGATTCATAACAGTAGCAAAATGACAGTTATGAAGTAGCAACGGAAATAATTTTATGGTTGGGGGTCACCACCACATGAGGAATTGTATGAAAAGGTCGTGGCATGAGGAAGGTTGAGAACCACTGCTTTAGATGATCAGACTCAGAAACGAATGGGTAAGTTTAATCCACGCTTTATGATGAGGCTGTTGGATTCTCATTCATTTTGTAGTCAGAATACGTTTGTAATGGCTACAGCTCACAATATCATTTAAGGCACTGCTTGCCAGACTAGATTCCCAACTGCAGCAGGGGGATAGCAATCAAGATGCCCTTAGCCTACAAGATAAAGAAGATTTAAAGTTTGTTTTGCCCCTTCTGGGTAGAGAGACACATCAACTGTTGAGTGTTAGCATAGAACGGGACCCTTAAGAAGTCCTCATGTAGCATAGAGACAGGAAAGAATCCTGACCACATTTTCTGTCTGGATGCCAGGTCTTCTCCCTTCGGTGGTTTACTGAAAGCACGTTCTGCTCTTCTCTCAGTGGCACTAACTCTTCCTTGTTCTGACATAGGAGAGCAATCTTGAAATGACTGAATTCCCTATAAGTAAAGTGTGTGTGGTGGGGTGGGGGGATGTGTATTTATTTTAATTTGTCAAAGAGTAAGAGCAAACATAAGAATACTGAACACGACTGAAGCCAACTTTTCTCTGCAGTAGACTAATACAGTCCACTTAGCCAGGTGACTGTCTGGCACAGATAATTTGCAGGGCACACACATAGAATTTCTTCATGGCTTCTTGCAATAGGACAACTGGTATAAAAATCGAAGACATCCTGATTTTGAAGGACACTCATTTTTAAGCCTTCAAACCACATGCCTACAATGGCATTCCATTGAAGGCATGGTGACTGATTGGATACGTTTCCTTGGGAACACATTGGCTAGCAAAGGTCGCTCTGCGCCTGACAGCCCTCAAGGCTGTTCACAGCGACTGGAAGAGGGCAGCTGTGAACATGTCCAGTCAGCTGGATTTGAAAATGGAGAAAAGGCATTCTTAGTTGCAGTAGCTTTTTGCCTTTGTCTGCTGGCTAGCTGTGCAACCAGAAACCTGAAAGATGACTTTCTCAAGGGCAAGTTCACTTTAAAAACAAATAAATAGAATGGTCAAAGATTCAAAAGATAAGCTATGCCTTGTGTTGTCAAGGGTATCTCGAATAGACTGCTAGTGAGAGTGGGCCTGAGAAAGCCTTCGACACCTACTGGACACCAGCATTGCCTTTCAGGAGCCGTAAGAGCTCCATTCCCGCTGACTCACCAGCTACACTTCTAGGACATTTACCTAACAGAATAAATGGACACAAAAATGCACATACAATGAAAAATTACAAAGAATTTGACCCCTGGTGGAATCTCTGTCCTCAGATTGGAAGGGTATATTAGGGACCATACAAGCCATGCTGAGGAACAAGTGTCGTGCGTGACCGGTCTGCTGGGTGTCAGCTCTCTTGCCAGAACCTTCCTTCCTCAACCTGTAATGAGCCATCCCTAGGAGTCTACCTGAACAATCAGACTTGGGGAGCTGTTTTTAACTTTTTAAACTCTTCCCTCAGAACTCTATAAATGAAAGAAAATGTCAGTTTCCTGAGCTGATTTTAGAATTCTCTCTCCCCAGCACACTGACACCAAACATCTCATGTTTGATAGACACTGGTCAGCAACTTCGTGCCGTAAGCTAAAAAGGAAGGGAAGGTGACGTTGCGCGCAGCTTGCTGGACGGCTCCTTCGGAACACAGAGAGGCGTGCGTGGTGGCAGGCTCTGGGTCGGGAGGCGGAGGTCTGCCTGCAGCTCTGACTTCCAGAGGCTCATCCATAGACTCCAGAGTTTCCACTTCTGTAAAAATGGAGACACGGAAACTCTTAAGTGCTCTTAGTAGTAATTCGTTTTCATACCTGGGACTTTTCTGAGTGCTTTGTATGTCATGAAGGAGCCCTGGCGGCCTAGTAGTTACGCATTGGGCTACTCACTGCAAGGTATGCAGTTTGAAACCACCTGCTGCTCCTCAGGAGAAAGATGGTGCTTTCTACTCCCATAAGAGTTAACCAACTCGGAAACCCACAGGGGCAGTTCTACCCAGTCTTGGAGTCGGAATCCACTGGATGGCAGCGAGTTTGGTATTTTGGTTTGGTGGTATGTAGTGAAATGTAATCCTCTCAGTTACTCCTAGGTGGCTTCTGCTGTTCTCCCCACCTGGCAGGTGAGGAAAGTAAAACACAGGAAGGTTATCTCACTTGCCCAGGTAACATAGCACGTGATGGAGAGAGGAGGCATGTTCACACCACCCGGTTCCAGCAAACAGAAGAGGACTGCTATTTTTAACCCCTAACTTGGCCAGCCAGGCCTTTTACATGAAAATGAAACAGGGGTGGGTGGGGGTGGGGGTGGTAGTCACCTCATTGTCTGGGAAGCTCACTATATATTCTGTTTCTGGAACAGTCCCTGGCACACCGTAGGTAATGGTAATTATCTAAAAGAGAGACCTGGTTATATGAGCTTTAAATCTCATTCAGCCATTAACTTCCCATTTGTCAGTGCCATCAATGTTTAGAATTTGAAGACCTCACACACACACACCCCACCCCCAGCCACGAAAGCCATCATTGTCCATAGGCCAATGAAACCTCTCTCATTTTTCCAGTTACCAATAGTGAAACATAGTCACTTGACTGGCCTGAGAGGCAGAAGGGTATAAAAATATCCTTTGTTTAACTCCATTCTTTCCACACAACAAAAATCCCCACACCACAGATTTGGAAGTCTATGCCGAGCGAGATCACTTCTTGAGTCTCTCCCATAATTTCGGATTGTGACCACCTGACTCCCAGCCCACTGCTCCTTCTGCACGGCCCTCCTTGCACCGCGTTCCTCAGCTCAGAATACTGGACATCGGTGACAAAGTTTTCGTTCTTCAGACAGTGCTTAGTGAGCCCCCTTGGATGTGAGCAGTTCCTGTGCTTGTGGCTAACTGAGGGGTTACAGATGTGAGCGCGCCACCCAGAGGTGCCTTGGAAGAAAGGCCTGGCACCTGCTTCCAAAAGCAACCCTTGGAAACCTTACCAGAACCCAGTTCTGCTCTGAGCACCCCGCATCGCCGTGCAGTCACCGGCACCCGGTGGTCTCGTGCACACGGTCTTGTGAGAGAGACTCAGGCTGAACACGCCTTGCTTCAGTCCCAGGAACCTAGCACTTACAGCGCCCCCTTGTGACAGAGATGCGCGTCATGATTAAAGCGCTTCTCTTAACTCTTGTTCTGTCTTTCTACGTGACCATAGCTCCTTAGGGAGCCAGGCTTCTCTGTGTGTTCCAGGAGCTTCGCACAGAGGGTGGTATTTATTACAAATTGTTGACAGTGACTTTGACGACTATGAAGTCAAGCCCAAAACACTGTAAACGTTTTCTGTAAATAATGTTAATACAGTGAATGTTTACAGCGATCAGCTAAAAGGTTGTGTACACAAGCTGTTTTAAGTATAAATTATAGGTATTATGTGAATTGTAGCTCATATGGACATAGCTGTATGGTCTGTCTTTTAGTGACAGGTGGATATGTGTACACACACAGAGACGTGTACGTTAGGAGTCCCTGGGTAGCATCAGTGGTAAAGTGCTTGATTACTAACCATGAGGTTGATTGCACAAATCCACCTAGAGGTGCTCAAAACACAGGTGATTGGCTTCCAAAGGCCAGGCCTTACCAACCCTATGGAGCAGCTAGCTCTGCTCTGCACACACTGGGTTGCCACTTAACAGTAACTGACAGCCCCAGCGTGCGTCTGTTGGTGTATTATTTCTTGTGAACAGGATGAAGGCGTGAAGGCCGTCAGTATTACTGTCCACGTGTTGTGCGCACGTTGTTTCCTGAGAGTCATTGGAATCCCTTCCGCGGGCCTTCGCTTCTCCCACTTGGTCCCTGTGTTTCCCGTTTGTATTCTTCCCTCCTTAACCCTTCCGAACTATGTGTGTTGTTGGGGAAAGGCTGCCCTTTTGATCTCAGGTGGTCGATTCCTCTAAGATGTGCCCACCTCCCACAGGTTACTGTTCTCGTACTTTCCTGCTGAACATAGAGCCGTGGTGGTGAGCTCATTTTTGGACCTAAAGGGTGACAAAGGTCCGTAGTCACAGGGGTTCCCCCAGGCTCTATCCGCCCAGTAAACCTGGTCGTTTTCACGGTTGTGAGTTGTGTTCCTCGTTTCCCTGTCCCACTCCATCTTGAGAGTGGTAGCTGGGCCCCATCGAGTTCTTCCGGGCTCAGGTGCGGAGATGGAGGTCTGTGTGTTCCTCTCTGCTGATGGTTCCCACGTGCCTTCGAGTACCACACTCTTTTTCCCTCCAGAGGGGGATTGGCCAAGAGCTGCACCTTAGATGGCCACATTTCATAACCTTTGAACACCCCGGTCATTGCTCACCAAAGTAGGATGTGCAGGATTTTATCTTTGTGGACCGTCTTATGCCAGTTGACCTTGATGTCTCCCAAGACTGGTCTTGAACTCCTAGGCCCAGAGACTCGTTCCCTCAGGGTGTTTGGTTATGTCTAAGAAGTTTGCATAACTTTGCCCCCTGTATGCTCCACCACATTCATGGCTATATTTGCAGCAAGGATAAGTACCCTAGTCTCCCCACATATTCCCAGTTAAGCCTCTCTATATTGACAGGTACAGTCAAACTCCCTCTCATACCCATTCAGCCTGTGGGTCTGTCCATGCACCTCCTTGCGGATCATCATTATTAGGATTTTGTATGCGTGTTTATATAATATTTACCTCTGAACAACCTATACGTATGTTAAGGCATTTTTCCTATTTCTTCAGAGCCATTGATACTCGAGTTACTATGAGTCTGCTAAACTGTGAGAACAGCTGTGGATCCAGCCAGCCTGGCAGTGACTGCTGTGCGGCCATGGCCAGCTCGTGCAGCGCTGCAACAAAAGAGGACAGCGTGAGTGGGAGCACCAGCACAGGGCACCTGTCCAGCTCCTTCATGGAGGAGATCCAGGGCTACGATGTGGAGTTCGACCCACCCCTGGAAAGCAAGTACGAGTGCCCCATCTGCTTGATGGCGTTACGGGAAGCAGTGCAAACACCATGTGGCCACAGATTCTGCAAAGCCTGCATCACCAAGTCCATCAGGTACGTGAGCATCAGGAGCCAGTGCAGAGAGCCAGAATCAGGGAATAGATCCCTCTGCGTCAGCAATTCCAGAGCCCACTAGGGAGTGACACATAAAACAGAAACCCCAAACCCAACTCACTGCCATCGGGTCGATTCTGGCGCACAGCACCCCTGTGTGCCTTACCTGATGGCGCTGCTGGAATGTGTCACCTCTCATACAATGAAAGCAAACCCCAAGTGATTGGGTATTCTGGTTTATAACCACATTGGAGTCCCATCTGTCACCATCATCTTACATCTCGGCTTCACTTACTGACATAGGTACGCTTGTTGGAGATCATTATGCGGTGATCATGGACTTTGCCTCATCCGTGTGTGTGTGTGTCTATCATCTTACATCTCAGCTTCACTTACTGACATAGGTATGCTTGTTGGAGATCATTATGCGGTGATCATGAACTTTGCCTCATCCGTGTGTGTGTGTGTGTGTGTGTGTGTGTGTGTGTGTGTGTGTGTGTCTATGAGACAGTCGCTCATTGCTGGTTAGGTACCCTGGCACATTTCTAGCTGTATGGTATCGTTGGCACCCTTCCCTACCACAGAGGTGGTGGTGCTGGTTGACTCTTGCCTACTGCCTGTTTCCACCTATGTGGGGACCCCGCTCCTCCATTACTTGCCATCGACTATTACCTTTCCTGGCTGGGGACTCCACTCATCCTTGTCCTCCACCAGCCCCATGTGACACCCTTCCCTCTCTCTGCTTTCCCCCACCAACCTCCCAGCACCTTCAGGCTCTGCTTGTCTGCTGCCTCACAGTCTTACTGTTAACCCCCCCCCCACACACACACCCTCCCTCATAATTGAAGGGAGATCCTGTGAATGAGCATCCTGCAGCCAGCGCGCCGCTACCCCTTGAACGCCTATCACATAGCATTCTCAGTGGTCCATGGAGGATGCCCTGGGCCTTGCTGTGGCCCCACTTGGGGCCCAGACCATTGGAAATGATGCCAGGAAATTTTTTCAAGCTATCATAATGCAAAATGTCAGCTAATGAAATAATCGATAAGTGAGGAACAGGTATGCTGTGAAATAACAACAAAACACTCTATTTATAAAGAAAGTATTATTTAATGGTGCTACTGTCACAGTATACAAAACCTGATTGCTTCTCACTGGCTCCCCTGTCACCCCGCTCTTCAGAACTGCCATCAGCTCTCACCTGAATCCTAGTACTACCTTCTAAGGGGCCTCCTGCTTCCACCCGTTTTCCTCCACTTTGGTCACAATACTGCATCAGGGCACTCACCTCTTTTGAAAGCATTTCACTGTGTCATCCAGGAGGAAAAGTCAGTCTTTCATGGCCCAGCTCCATCCTTGCCCTCCTGGAGAAATCACTGAAGATGGGGTTGCTATAGCAAAGTGTGGTGAAGCATCAGATGGTGCTGAGCTGTTAGAAAGAATAGTGCCTGGACTCTTAAAGGCTTGTCTCAAAATACGCAGCCATCTAAATGAGGCATCAACTAAGTCCACCTGGAAGAAGCATGCCAGCCTGTGTGACCCAAAGATTCTAAATAATAAAATCCAAATCTGGAGGAGGAGCAGTATTAGAGCTTAAATTCTGAACACCCAGTTTGCAGAGGAATGATGAAGGAAGCCCAGAATCCATCTGCAAAGTCCCACAAGGATTGAGCCTCTGACTATGTCAGAAATGTGATAGCCTTGCTATCAGAGTGCATTGTCAAGTTGATTATGGCAGATGGCGGTAGGCTAAAATGTAAAAGCTTATCATTGAATTTTCTTTTACCCATTTTAAATTTGGTCTAGTTTTTAATGTTTTCCACTTTCCTCTGGATTGAAGTTTTTCCCTGTTTAAGTTTGTTGTTGTTGCTGTTGCTGCTATTCTGTTGTTTCTTGGTTTTTGTCTTGTATGTTTTTCTGTATAAAAAATCCAGGATAGGAAAATCTATGAAATCTATAATTGGATTAATTAGTAATGACCTAGGTACGTGGCAAGGGAGGCTGGGGGGAATGGGCGACTAACTGCAAGAATGAAGAAAATATTTTCAAATTGTGATGCCTGCACAACTCTTTTATTATGATTGAACTATTGAATTGTACAGTATGTGAATTATATGCCAATAAAAAATAAAATAAAAAGCCAAAGTCCTTGCAAAACCCTGCCTGGTTTTGTCCCAATGAACTTTGCTCTTCTCTCTCTTCATTCCTGGGATGCCAAGCATGCTTCTGCTGTGCAACCTTGGCTTTAGCTTTTCCTTCTGCTTGGAATGTTCTTTTTTTTTTTTGCAATGTTCTTGCCAGTGCTCACTGCCTCCACAACTCTCTGCGCTTCATCGCATGTGACCCAGATCTCATTCACCTCCACACTCCTGAGTTCCCTTAGCAAACTCTACTTTTGGTCCTTGAGACTTTTCACTCGCGAATTTGTGTATTTATTGTCTGCTCAGTCCATTATCAGGTAAGATCCTCTAGAACAGGGGTTTGGGTCTGTTTTATTCATTAATACTGTCCAAGAGACAGTAGACAGTACTGACTCATAGCAACCGTACAGGACATGGTCAGACTTCCCCTGTGGAACTCTTCCATGGTTGTAGATAGTCTCGTCTTTCTCCTGAGGAGTGGCTGCTGGTTTTGCACTGCTGACCTTGAGGTTAGCTGCCCAACGTGTAGCCACGGTGCCTCCCAGGCTCCTTGGCACAGAGTAAGGTACTTAATAAATCAGTGGTTATAACTGCCTGGAGGTACATGGGGTTCCACAAATAGAACAGATTCGTCTTTTGAAAAGCGGTACACTGTACTACAATTCAGAGGTAGAAAGGAATGCGTTTCGTGGAGTAAAGAGTTTGGGGTGCCCTGGTGATGCACTAGGTTAATTGTTCGGCTGCTAATGGCCGGGATGGTGGGTCAGACCTCTTACTCCCATAAAGATGTATCGTCTTGGAGACCCTAAGAACCGTTCTGCAGTGTCCTGGAGGGCAGCTGTGAGTCAGAGTCTAATCACCTTGCTGGCCATGGTTTCAGTTTGGGGGTAAGAAGTTGCAGATTTTATCTTCTGTAATAAGCACTTGCATCACATTGGTGAGCTCATTCTTAAGTAGGTTAAGTTCACCTGCTCATCAGTCTTTACTCAGTTTCTAGCTCCAAACTTTGTTCTATATGAACTTGGCTATAAAACTTGGCTTTAAGGTAATTATATCCATGCTTGGGGTATGGCATGATTTCAGTGACACTGTTAACATTGGGGCTGCATAATTTGTTGTGAGAGACTGTCCCCTACACAGTAGGCTGTTTAGCAGGGGCCCTGACCTCTTTCCAACAGCACCATCCCCCTCATCCCGCCCCCACTTCCCCTTACAACAATCAGACATGTCCCCTGGGCACAACTGCCCCTTGGTGGGGGCCACTGTTTAGGGCACACATCAAAGCAGTCATGCAGCTCAGTCTTATATCTGTTTATGATACTTTCAGTTGCTCCTTTTTGTTGGGCACTCTAGCACCCACCACATACGGGAAGAGGTTGGTTTTCTCGCCAGCGACGGACAGCGTTTCACATGCCCAGGAAGATCGTTCATCTTTGTCAGTCATTTGACAACAAAATGTTCATGAGAATAGTAGGAGAGTGGTCAGAAAAGGAAGTAAAACCCACAAAAGGAAGTCTGAGGCTGTTTTTGTTGTGTGTGTGTTTTTTTTCCTGACTCCCTCTGAGCTAGAAGGACCAGACTCCCTCTGAGCCAGAAGGACCACTTGCTTTGGCTTGAATATTCATAGGGTGGTGCTCTGCGACTTCTCTGATCGTGACGAAGGTCACAGTTCACCTCCGCCCAGTTCTGTTTTCCTTGGCTGGCATTACTCAGGCGTGCTGTGGATGAGGGCGCTCCACTGGCCTTGTGCGTCACTTGGGTTCTGAGCCCGGGGATCACGGAACCCGTTTGTATTCATGGCTTTCTGAGCCCTGAGGACTCGCCGGCCTGGAGTCCGGCCTCCCCCCAGCAACCCTGCAGCACGGGGGACTGCCCTCCTGAGTTTCCGAGCCATCCCTCTCGCCAGGAGGAGAAAGCCTCCTCGTTCCCCCGAACAGCTGGTGGTTTTGAGCTGCTGACCTTGTGCTTAGCAGCCCAGCCCATAACTCACGACACCACTAGGCGCAAGGTCATCAGTTTCAAACTACTAGCTGCTCTGGGCAAAAGGCGAGGCTTTCTACTGCCATGGAGTTACAGTTTGAGAAACCCCGTTCCAGGGGCCGGTTCCACCTGGTCTTGTAGGACCTCGATGAGTCAGAAGGCACTGGATGACAATGCATTTGAGTTTTGTGAGTGCTCTCCAGAAAACACTTGACACTGAAAGAATAGCCTGAAGCGGCCCGAGGAGGCCCCAGAGTCACTGGCTCACTCCCATTCTTGGCCATAAACCCTCTGAGGGCAGAGCCCAGTTTACAGCCAGCGCTGTTGGTTCCTGCAGCCCACCTGCCAGTCCACTCTGTCTGTGGGGATGGCACTTCTCCGACATCTAGGCTTCCTGTGGATGGGGCTTCCCATAGAAGATGGAATAAAGCCCTGCAAGGCAGGACACCGGAGCCCTACAACGCCCTTCTGCATAGCACCCCAGACAAGCGAACATAGGGCGCCTCTTGTGGCCCACGCATCAAGAATTGTTGGAGTGAGTCTTTTGAAGTAAACCGTAAAACATAACCTCATGAAGGTGGTTGACAATTGGTTACGCTTTGATTTAGGACTGAGAGGGCAATCCCCTAGACGTGTTAAAAGTATTGTGACCAGCATATGGACTTTGATCTCACGTGCATGTTGTATAGCACTTGACGGAACAGGCTAGCCAGACTGCCAAAACTTCCATCTGTGATTTTCACATAGTGGTGCATTGATAGCTTACAGGTAGCCTTCTCACCACCTGTGCGGGAGACCCACGTTCAATTCCTAGCAGGCGCACCTCAGGCACAGCCACCACCTGTCTCGATGGGAGTTTGAATGTTGCTGAGATGCTGACCAGCTTTCAGAGGAACGTCCAGACAAAGATGAGCCAGGAAGAAAGGCCTGGAGATCATCTTTGAAACCCTGTGGATCACAGCAGCCCCGTTCTAAGCTGCTCACAGGGATGGGCCGGGACAGCAGTGTTTGTTTCTCTTGTGCGTGGCGGTCCCCAGGGGTGAGGGCCAACTGGACAGCAGCTGCCTGTAGCACCCTCTACAGCACCTTCTGCCAGTCACAACCTCACTGCACGCAGTTGCCCTGGTTAAGGCAATTGCCTTAACTTTTGCTAGGTAACCGATAGAGTGTCAGGGCACCCTTTTCTCTTACGAATGTCTTGGTGATCCTGGTCAATGGAACCTGTTGAATTGTCCGCCCACGTTAATAAGGGAAAGCTATGTGGGAAAGTAAGGGTGTTTGGGTTTTCTAGGTCAAATATTTAATTTACTTAAAATGTCTAAATGGGCATGCCTTTTTGTTTCTTCAGGGACGCTGGTCACAAATGTCCAGTCGACAATGAAATCCTCCTAGAAAATCAACTGTTTCCTGACAATTTTGCCAAACGAGAGATTCTTTCTCTGATGGTGAAGTGTCCAAACGCAGGTTGCCTGCACAAGATGGAACTCAGGCACCTAGAGGTACTCGCTGTTTCCTAGGCACCAGCACGTGTGCGTGGCTCGTAGCGGGCAGGGGCCTTGCTCTTTCTGTCTGGGGGCAGTCCCGCCCTGTCCTGCAGGAGTGCCGGAGTCGGAACTGACTCCAGCACAACAGGATGGTTTTCTCCCCGTGTGGTACTGATGGTTAAGCAGCTGACCCAGATGGACCTTGCAAGAAAGGCGTGGTGATCGGTTGCCAGAAGGTCACAGCCGTGGAGGCCCTGTGGAGCGCTTGGCTCGCCACACTGGCGTCGCCATGAGCCGGCACCCACTTGACAGCAGCCAGCAACAGCAGTGCATGTAGAAGGCTTGTTGAGTGAACACCAGCCTTTTGATTGGTGACTGTAAATTCACGTGGAAACCAGCAAGTTCTTCTTTTATCTCCTCTGGCTTTGCCCCTATGTTAGTAAAAACAAAATCTGTATTTCACGGCTATTGGAGGGGCTGAGCATAATTATCTTCAGGAAAATGGAAGTGGGGTTTTAAATCCAGATATGCCACATTTTAATCTTGTCATTTCATCCTGAAATAACAATGCCCATGTTTTAGTTTTTTTCACGGTTTTCTTAGATTTTGTGCTTTATTATTAACTAAGTCGTGCCCTATAGCCCGAGAATACCAGAAGCAACCAGATAATGAAAGTTGTTTGCTTTTTCACTTGATCTTAGCCAAAAGGCCGAGAAGCGATAGGGTGTTTGCTTTGTAAATCAAGTAAATCTTTAATTTGGTGATTGTCCAACAGGAATTAAGTATTGTTAAATATTCAGGACAGATTTGCAACGTGTCCGTTTTCTCTGCTCCCAGTGACTGCCCTGTTGGCACACTGCTGAATGGAAACTCAGGAAATGGACCGTCTTCCATCCTTGGTGTGAACTGAAATCACAATGATTACTTGGAAAAGTACTTAGGGAAGCGTTTATTCTGTGGACTGCTCTGTGCCGCAGTGGGTTGGTTAAGTGTCCGGCTGCTGGCATTTCAGACCTACCATTCATTCTGCTGGAGGCAGCCGAGGCAGCCCATCCCCATACAGATCGCCAACCTTGGGACCCCAGAGCGCAGATTCCCCTCGCTCCTGTAGGGCTGCCTGGAGTTGGTATCCATTTCATGGCCCTGGGCTTGGGGTCTGGCTTGTGTACTCAACAGAGTGAATTCAGTAGCTGATTGTAGCAGAGAGAATGTTATCAGAAGGTAATATATTTAGGAAGCTTCAGTAAGCTTAGCACAAATTAGTAGATTGATTTTCTTTCTTTGTCCCTAGGACCATCAGGCTCATTGTGAGTTCGCTCTTGTGGACTGCCCCCAGTGCCAGCGTCCCTTCCAAAAATGCTGTCTGACCATCCACCTTCTCCAGGAGTGTCCAAGGAGACAGGTGTCTTGTGTGAACTGTGCTATATTAATTCCATTTGAAGAGAAAGAGGCATGTACCAACTCAGATTTGTTCTATCTAATTCTTCTAAATATTTCCTTTAAAAAAAGTATCTGAAGGGGTCAGAGACAGTGAGGCTGTTACTCTTACCTGTGAGATGACTTTGTTGATTTGGAAAAATTGATTTTTTTAAAAAAATAACTTCATTGGGGCTCATACAACTCTTACCACAATCCATACATGCATCAATTGTGTAAAGCACACTTAGACATTTGTTGCCCTCATCATTCTCAAAATTCGCTTTCCGCTTGGGTTCGTGGAATTAGCTCCTCATTTTCCTTTTTCCCCTCCCCCTCCCTCCCCGCTCCCCCCTCCCTCATGAACCCTTAATAATTTATAAATTATTATTTTATCTTATCTTACACTGCCCGGCGTCTCCCTTCACCTACCCTTCTGTTGCCCATCCCCCAGGGGGGAGGTTATATGTAGATCCTTGTGATGGGTTCCCCCTTTCTCCCTCCCCTTCCCTCCTGGTATCGCCACTCTCACCGCTGGTCCTGAGAGGTCATCTGTTCTAGATTCCCTGTGTTTCCAGTTCCCATCTGTACCGCTGTGCATCCTCTGGTCTAACCAGGTCTGCAAGGTAGAATTGGGATCATGATAGTTGCGGGGAGGAAGCGTTTAAGAACTAGAGAAAGGTTGTGAGTTTCATTATTGCGACACTGAATCCTGAGTGACTCATCTCCTCCCCACTACCCCTCTGCAAGGTGTGTCCAGTTGTCTACAGATGAGTATTGGGTCCCCATCACGCGCTACCCTCATTCATAATGATATGATTCCCTCCACTCCCACCCCCCGCCTTTGGTGCTTGAAACCTGGTCCCTTTGGCCCTTCATGATCACACATGTTGGTGTGCTGCTTCCATGTGGGCTTTGTTGCTTCTGGGCTAGATGGCCGCTTGTTTACTTTATAGGTCTTGATAGCCGGACATTATAGGTCTTGATAGCCGGGCACCGGAAAAATTGATTTTTAAGAAAGAAAAAGCCCAATAAAGAAGAAAGCCACTTAGTAAATGAGGTAGGGTTTTGATGTGCTTTGTCTTTCTCAGAAGACTTGGCGGTCCACCCTAATGCTCTCACAGATCTGCAGGTAACACCGGCTACTCAGAAAGGCAAATGCAGGTCCACCTCCCTCCCTATTGTATGCATAATTCTCATGGCCAGTCTTGGATTGAAGACATTTAAGAGTAAGGTCCAGTTAAGAGTGGCACAGAGTTCTTTTGAAAAAGACAGTAGGTAATTGAGCAGCTCTCCGTGCATAGGGTAGACCCTACAGAAGTGTGTACACACTGGGAGAACTGTGGGACTGTACCCGTTGTCCTTCAACGTGCATGCTGTGCTGGAACTCAAAGATGTCTTTTCCACAAAGACACTTCTTGGAGCCCTGGAGAGAGCATTGTGGTAGAACAGCTTTGCCATTCGGACCCTGAGAGAGCAAGTGAGGTCAAGTCCGTTTGTATTAATGTTAGGCTGCATCGGCAGGCACTGAGAGCCTAGCCCGGAAGTCTCCATCATGGGCGCTACATCCTTTTTAATCACTGCTTAGCTATGGTCTTAGACATTTCTACTAGTAATTTCCCTACTTTGCTATGCGACCTAAATGCATGATACTCATTAACTTTATGAGAGGCTGAAGAATAGGAAAAAAGAATCGACCAAGTTGCCCAAGATATAAAGGGAGTCAGAGTTATAATTAGTAAACCCGGCATGCCTGTCCTAAACCTCCTTAAATGAGACGGAGGTGACTTGAAAGGCTAATGATTTCATAGCATATCAACTCACCTGGAGTCATCGTTGTCTAGAAAAAAAAATCTAGGACCTGGGAGAACCTGGGCAACAAAGCCTCGCCCCCCAAAAATGCTTTTGTTCTTCCACCCTCCTGGTAAGCGTTCTAATTAAATGAGGATGCTGCTGAGAGGTTTTAGGACAAGAAGGCCTTTGGAGAATTAAAGCTTTGGCAAACAGTGTCAGAACTAGTCACAGATACTCTGCAGTGGAAGAGTTTGAACAGATTCTCTTCTGCTTACTGTCACATTCTTTTAAAGATCGGGAAGGCTGGATGAATCTTCACCGCACTGGCAAGTGAAACTAGCCTTTATGTAGTATTCTCGTTTGCTTTGTACAGATCAGTGCTCTTCATTTGTTCACTAAAAACCTTTGTGCCTTTTTATAAAAAGTGGCTAGTCGTAATTTTTTCAGATTTTCTCAGATTCTTCTTATGTTTCTCTACTAAAATTTAGATCCATGACCAGAAATGTCCTTTGGCCAATGTCATCTGTGAATACTGCGACACTGTGCTCATCAGAGAACAGGTAGCGTGATTCTTCATACAAGAATAAATACTGTTATGAATACTATAAAGAAGTGAGGTCAGTTTTTTAGTTTGGTTTTTCATGTTTAAAACTGATATTAAAAATAATTAAAAGTAAAAATGATCATATTGTCTCCTGTTCATGAAGAATTGAGGATCTATAGTACCCCCCCCCCATGGGAAAAAGCTCCACTGGGCAGAGCTTTCATAGTATGCAGCCCCCCCAACCCCACCCCAGACAATGATCAAGCAACTCACTCTTGAGTTCTTGCACCCAGTGGCGCCAGCTGGGAAGGTCTTGCTGGTCACGGTGAATTTTTTTGTGAAGGCAGTTTTGCTCAAACCTCGTTTTTTGTGATGGCTGATTTAAGAGAACAGCGTGAGACTGTGAAACTTTGTTTCCTGCTTGGGAAAAATGCTGCAGAAACTGTCGTGATGTTGAACACAGCTTACGAGTACAGCACTATGGAAAAAACTCAAGTGTACGAGTGTTTTTCTTTTTTCTTGATTCCAAAAAGGTAAAATGTTAACTGGTGACAAACCTCGTCCTGGACATATGTCAACTTCTCCAACAGACGAAAATGTTGACAAATTTCAAGGACCGCTGAAGAGGTGGGAAGCTATCTGTCTATCTGGAGCTTGGTTTAGCGAATTTCAATGCTAGATTTGGGAATGGGAAGGGCTGCTGCGAGGTGTGCCTCTGGCTCTGACTGGTCAGGAGAAAGCGTGTCGAGTGCAAACATGCCGTGCTTTGAAAGAGCAGCTTTGAAGCGACCCAGACTTTTTTTTCCAAAGTCATTACTTGGTAACAAGACATGCTGCTATTCTTGTGACCCGAAACCCAACATCAATCAAGCCAGTGGAAGGACAACGATTTGACGATATAGAAGTGAAGAAAAAACCACGGGAGCTGCTGTCAGCCATCCAAACAGATGAGTTTGAAAAACGTTTCCAAGAATGGAACCACAGATTTGTCCAATGTATTAAGCGTAATGGAGAGTACTTTGAAGGTGCTAAGACTTGTTTTGTAAAAGAAAATTTAAATACATGGCTTTGGGGTGGGGAAAATCGTTCTGTTTTTGGTTTTGTTTTTTTTTGAGAGGGGGTACCGCCAAGAATGATCCCCGTAGCCTCGGGAGGGGGCACTGACCTTAAGCAGAGGTTGTGCGGCAGAGTGGCTGTCCCTTCAGGACAGCATGCTCCGTGAAAGAAGCTGGACACCCAGGGTCACACACTGCAGAGTTGCATCTATGTGACCTCTCCAGAACCCAGCCACCAGACAGGTTGGGAGTGTGCAGAGAACGCGCTCATTGAGTGCAGGGTTCTTTGGCGCCATGGAAAGGTGTGGGACCAGATAGAGGGGGGTCGCTGCCCAGCGAGGTAAGTGTACTAAATGGCTGAACTGTTCACTTGAAAATGGTTCCTTTCGCGCTCAGGGATTTCACCCCCTTTTCTCTTCGGACCAGTTAGGGCCACCATGGTCGTGCTGTGCTCTGGTGTCTGCAGCCCAGGGGCAGACTTTCAGGCTTGGACATGGAGTCCCCAAGGCCAAACACATCGGCTCTGGGATCCTGTTCTAGGTGATAGGTTTCCTCTTGTAAAATTGCATGCCATGGTCTTCAAGGTCATTTCTGCTTCAAATGTCTCTGGGGGTGCCGAGCTAATTTCTGAAGGCAACTTGGCAGGACTCAAAGCGCACACTGCCGGGTCTCACCCTAAAGAACGGCTTTTCCATTGCCCCCCCAATCAGAGCTGGAGGCCTAGAGTGTTTATGATGTGCCTGTGTGACCTCCTCCAACCCCTTCCCCTCCCCAGCACCTCCCCAGCGTAGCCCGCTCATGCCTGGGTAGCAGGGGGGAAAAGAGCTCTGAACGGTGGCCATGAGAGGAATTGTGGGTGCAGGCAGAGCCTTGAGAGTAGTTCGAACTAGCTGGTCCCCATGAAATGGTCTCAAACAGCCGAGTCTGCAGCTGTAGCCGGAAGGCACTTTTTCTCCTCGGTGCCACTAGAGGGGGACGGTTCTCAGCGAAAGGAACACATTGGCTGTCTTGAAGTGAGTGGTGATCTGGGCGGGGGGCGGGGGGGAAATGCTGTTGAGAAGCTGACATCTCCTTTCTCTGTGACTGGAGTCTGGTTTCCCTCACAGCCACCCGGCTCTGCGCCTGTGGCTGGCACCGGTGCTTGCCCAGCGGTCTGGGTGAGACGCAGCCCTTTCATGTGTGCGCTCACAAAGCTGGATCATGACGTCCAGGGGAGACGTTTGTTTTCACCCACCCGTTTTGATTTTCAGATACCCAATCACTATGATCTGGACTGCCCTACGGCCCCGATTCCATGCACATTCAGCGCTTTTGGTTGCCCTGTAAAGGTAAGGAGCTTTTGCTTCGCTTTCCTTTTCATTCTCAATGTGGATCCAGGCTAGTAGTCGAATGGAGAGGACCAGCAAGGGTGCGAAGTTTCTATACACAGCCTGACCAGTGACATCATTGAGACTCGTATTGCAGTTCCTGTGACAGCCTGGCAGCGTTGACTAAGCAGGAGAACTGGGCTGAGCCTTGACAGATGAAAGAGGAACGTCCATGAAGACCAAGGAGGGCAGACAGGCACCAGAGAAAACTGTGTGTGTGTGTGTGTATGTGTGTGTTGATAACTGCAGGCCCTTTGTTCCCCTCGCACTCACCCTGGTAGGGTGGAAGCTAAGGGGTAGGGTTGGGGCTGACCAGACCTTAAGTGCCCGTAGGACTGACGGTGATGGCAGTGAAGCTGGGGATCTAGGAGGGTGCGCGCTCAGCAGGGGACCTGGTGACTGAGGAGCTAGGATGGTGAAGAGGAGCGAGGGCCCTGGAGTGATTCTTGGTTTCTGGCAGAGGAGCCGGCTGGAGCTGGAGACGTGCCTGTGGGGTAGTTGGCATGCACTCTACGTGTGTCTGTAAACTCGGACGTGACCTGGGGACTCGGAGTAATGGTTGTGGGAAGCCATTAACTCGTGGGGGTGACTGAAGCTGTGAGTGAGATCGTGGAGGGAAAGCACCCAGGAAAGAGTATGAAGCAGAGCCAAGGGCACCTGAGGGAAGAGAATGGGAAGCATTCAGACCCACAGAGGAGAGTGTCCCCTGCAGGATCCTTCTCGAGCCTCTTTAGTGGCCGCCACTGGTCTCACGTGTCATTTCGTCTAGCGGGGCGTGGCGGCACCGAACCTTTTGCGCTATACTTCCTCCCTCCCCCAACCCCCGGCTGTGCAGTAAACACTTGACAACTTTAAAACGAGGAGCCAAGTGGTGTCAAATGTGGTTATATGTCGTGTTGTGTGTGCATCAAAAAAAGAGCCGAAGGAACCAGACCCAAACCTTGGCGGGAGTTAGGTAAGATAGGGAGTAATGACTTTCTCCTGATGGCTTGCTTTTCTCTGAGATACTTGAGTTGCTTTGATAAGAAACTAGCATGCTAGGGGGTACACTCAGCTAAGCACATTAGTTGTGTTAATAAAAGAGGGTGCTTTTTCTCTAACAATTCAAAGGCTGGTGAGATTCAGGAAAGATTCTCATTCTCGGTGGTTTGTATGAGTCAGGGAGTGGGGCAGCCCAGGTAGAATACACTTGTCCATGCAAGGAAGAGACAAATTGGTGCTAACCTGAGGAGGGTTAGAATCCCCACACACGGGCAACCAGTTCAGTAAAACCCCTGAGGGGTTACAAGCAATTTCGGGCCATTCAGAGCCCAGGTCACATCTGTGTCCTGGACTTGCGGAGAGACCTCCCGAGTCTGAGGGGGAGACGCTGTACCGGAGACGAGGCAGTGCTATCTGAGTGAGTGTCCCTCAGGTGGCTCACTGAATTGAGAACCTAGGGTATAGGAGCTGGCGGGAAGCAGTGACGTTTGAAAACCCTTACTTTGGCCTATCCAGATCCCTTTTCAGGGAGCCCTGGTGGTGTAGTGGATTATGAGTTGGGCTGCTAACCTCAAGGTCTGCCGTTCAAAACCACCAGCCCCTCCTCGGGAGAAAGATGAGGCAGTCAGTCTACCTACCGTTAAACCCACAAGGGTAGTTCTCCTCTGTCCCCTAGGTATGCAATGAGTCAAAACCAACAGAAATCCCTTTGCTAGCCTCTCCGCAAACCCACCTCCAGCCTAAGGCATGTGCTTGGTTTGTAGATGCAGCGGAATCACCTGGCGCGCCATGTGCAGGAGTACACCCAGTCGCACATGAGGATGCTGGCCCAGGCCGTTGAGAACTTAAGCCTTGCTGCCACGCCCAGGCCTCCGTGTGATGCGCTTGCATTTGACTCTGCCTCTCTGCCCCGAATGTCCTCTGGATGTCACCCTGAGGTCCAGAATTTCCAAGAAACCATTCAACAGTTGGAGGGGCGCCTCGTCAGGCAGGACCATCAGATCCGGGAGCTGACGGCGAAAATGGAGACGCAGAGCCTGTATGTGGGTGAGCTCAAACGGACGATCCGCACCTTGGAGGACAAGGTTGCTGAGGTGGAAGCCAAGCAGTGCAGCGGGATTTACCTGTGGAAGATCAGCAACTTCGGGATGCACCTGAAATCCCAGGAGGAGGAGAGGCCCGTGGTCATCCACAGCCCCGGCTTCTACACTGGCAAGCCCGGCTACAAACTGTGCATGCGCCTGCACCTGCAGCTCGCCAGCGCCCAGCGCTGTGCAAACTACATCTCCCTCTTTGTGCACACAATGCAGGGAGACTACGACAGCCACCTGCCCTGGCCCTTCCAGGGCACCATCCGCCTGGCCATCCTGGACCAGTCTGAAACCCCCCTGAGGCAAAACCACGAAGAAATCATGGATGCCAAGCCAGAGCTGCTGGCCTTCCAGAGACCCACCATCCCTCGGAACCCTAAGGGCTTTGGCTATGTGACTTTCATGCCCCTGGAAGCCCTGAGACAGAGAACTTTCATAAAGGATGACACCTTGCTGGTGCGCTGTGAGGTCTCCACCCGATTCGACATGGGGAGCCTCCGGAGGGAGGGCTTTCAGCCCCGTAGTACGGATGCAGGGGTATAGCACCCCCTCTTTGGACTGTCTGCAGGATGCAGTGCCTTTGCTTGCCCTCTTCCCAGGGACAACGCACAAAGATGAGGGGAGCATCTGGGAGCGGGCATGCGCGTGTCCGGCGGTTTTCAGTAACGTTACCAGACGTGCCTGTGGCACAATGCAGCTATTTTGTGACTTCGTATACCTCTCTGTTGTACGTCCTTGGGCTTTGGGTCCCCACTGCATTTTGTCAGCAAAAAGCCCAGCGCCCGAGGACTAAACCTTAAGCCATCCTCCTCCTAACAGAATGAGGACAAGGATCTCCCTTCCAACGTCCGCCTTATTTTTATAGTATTATATGTAATATATTAAACTCGAGAATCACTACCACCTTCACGCTGGTGCCAGAGAGAAGAAGAGTGGTTACGGCCGAGTTCTCCTTTGAGGGGAGAGATCTGTCGGTAGATCTCAAAGGAGGTGAGCCATCCTCCTTGGGACGCTTAAGTTCTCATCCTGGTTTCTCCCAGGCTGCTCTTCAGGATGTTCAGGGACAAGCTTAACCCTCAGTAGGACCTGGGGTAGGAGTGTGAACATGTTGTCTGGTGAATTGTTCTTCCCCGAGACCGAGGAGTCGCTAGCATCTTCTCAGGGCCGTGGTGGGCACCTGCTCGTGGAGCACCTGCTCATTCTTATCGTGAGGGAGCCCTTTTGGGCTACTCAGAGCCAGGCAACTTCAGTCCGCCTACCGACCTCTCCTGCGCTACTACACTGATCAGACAAGGCGAGGCGCACACACAGTCACCAACCTACAAGGTCTGTGTGGCATCTCACTGGCGGCGAGAGAAGCTAAGAGGCACACTGATTCAGCCCTTTCCACTCCATCCGTGTCCTACAAACAGACTGTCCTCATACTGGGGAGTTCAGTAGTGGTCTTTGGTCTGATGGGAGCCGCTGTGGCCCCGCCAGCACTGACGTGGGGAGGCCGTTGCTTCAGTGCAGCAGTGCACACGGCAGGCTCGGAGGGTGGGCGGGAGCCTGCTGAAGGGGCTTTCGGGAAGAGACGACTTTGGTGTCACTGTGTATCTGTTAAAGACAGATGGGGGTTCAAACTGTGGGTGCCACCTGGTCCTCAGGGAGCCCCACAACTGGTATAGGCCCCAGCAAAGCCGCTAAGCAGGCCCACCCACTGCATTTCAGAGTGAGGGGTTAGCGGACTCTGGGTGTGGGGGTCAGACCGCACCTTATCTCCAGAGGGGCCACAGCAGAGCTTCCATTTCAAAAGGAAGCTATGGCTCTGGAGAGGAGTCTGCTGCTAGACCTAGGCAGATGTAGCAAACGTTGCCTTGACCTTCCCCTTAACTCCCTCCCCCACCCCTCACTAGCTTCTGCTCAGCTGGGTGTGAGTTAGAGAGCAAAAGTAAAGAAGCAAAGGTTTGTACCGCCTTCCAGAAGGCCCACAGGTGCATCCCAAGTCCCCCCGTTTGGGTCCCTTGTGCCACTTAACTGCCAGACTGCCACCCAAGTCCCAAGAACCGTGGCACCACCACCTGTACTGCTGCTCCCCCTGTGGTGGTGTTTGGATGAATAAATGGTTGTCCGGAGTCATTGAAAAGGTTCTTTTGTGTGTGCACTCACAAACCTTCGAAGGCGAGATACTGAACTTTTGGTTATGGTTACCTTGGGCTATAAAAGTTTTGATGACTGACTTCCTTCCTTATGCCTCTTCTTTTAAAAAAATAATATTTTCTATAAGCATGCTTATTTTAGCAAAGAAAACAGAGTCCCAGGGTGCACAAAGGTTAAGCGTCCAATGACTAGCTGAAAGGTTGGCAGTTCGAACCCACCTAGAGGCACCTTGGAAGACAGGCCTAGCATTCTGCCTCCCGGAACACAGTTCTCAGACACGTCGGACCGTCATCCCTCAGGCAACCCAGTACCCATGAGCCTTATCATACAGATGGATTTTTTTTTTAAAGCAAAGATGCCATAAAACACTTAGACCCTCCCTCATCAAAAGGAAATGGGCAAAGCTTCCCAGTCTGTTTTCTACCAAAAACATCACTACATTCTCGTTAGGTGCGGCTGAGCCGGTTCCAGCTCAAAGCCACCCTGTGTTCAATAGAAGGAAACACTGCCCAGCCTCACAGTGGGCCCTGGGTCTGAGCCCCTGTGTAGCCCATCCCGTTGAGCATCCGCTTCCTCGCCGACCCTGTACCAAGCAGGATGTCCTTCTCCAGGGAACTGGTGTGTCTCAAGTATGAGACGCCGCCCCACTCTTCTTGCTTCTAAACACTGAGGGGTCCCTCCCGGCGGGTCGTGTAGCCAGTGCTCTTCACCCCGAAGCTTCCTTTCTCTGGTCTTCCTGGTTCGTCCCACTGTTACATGCACACAGCAACTGCTAAGACGTCTTTTTCGGCCCTGGTTAAAGATTGCTTTAACTCAAACATACACAGTGCTTACCTTCCATGTCTCAGCCTCAGGTTACACATTTGTAAAATGAATTGGGCTGGATCGTAGGGGTCCAAATTTATTTGGCTACTGGCCCCTTTTCAGAAAACAAACAAAAAAATTTTTCAGCAATGAAAAATGTTTGTACTCTAGCCCATCATGTAGGATAAAGTATAGGTATCTGCTGTGCAGCAACCCCCGGATCATTCCAGTGCCCTCCCCCAAGCCCCACTCCTCCCCCCAACTGTAAGATTCTACTTTAAGATATTAAATTCTAAACTGTCAGATGTTGACCACATTTTGCCAAGGGAAAAGTGCTTTAACTTATTCTTTGCTAACTGATCAATGTAATGTCCTATCAGCTGGGCCATAGCTTAATTCAAATGAGTAGTTTTTTGTTTGGTTGGTGATTTTTAAACCCATAACATAAGACATTTTGTAATAAACCACTTTTTTTGTACTGGTCATTTGTTATGTAGAGTAGAAGTCCTGGTCACAGGATCATTCCAAATAGAAAACTTCTACAAAGCCTTCAGTTCAATGTCAAGTCTTCACCCGCCAAATGCTTCACATCATTGGCCTACAAGTAATTAAGCATGTTAGTCTGTTCACCTGATAATGTGTTCATCTTTGGGCGTGATGGGAAGTCAGAGTGATTTTTTTCTCGGCCCAGAGTGATCCACTCCACTGTTGGAGGAAACTCGTTGCAGGTCCTACGTTTCGCTTTTGGAAAGCAGTTGCTTTGTTCTTTGGGAGGTCATGGCTGGGAGGGGGAGGCCTCTGACTCTTGTGAAGAGTTACAGGAGCAGAACCCCGGGGGCAGGTCTACCTTCACCGGTAGGGTTGCTGAGTCAAATTGGCCAGATGGCAGTGAGCTAACAGCTGTCCCTGGGCAGTTAGCGCAGTGACCAGTTAGCGCAGTGACCGTTTCTGACCACTGCAGTCTGATTCCGCTTTTCATTTCGGGGCTGCAGAGTAGGACAAGGTGACATGGGATGGAAGGTGGGGCTTTTCTCCTTCCGGATTCGTGATGGAAACTCCTACAGAGATGAGAGCTAACCTCTAGCAGTTCCTGTTAGAGGCACGGGCGCATAAAGGTGCGTTAGCTCACTGTCTTCATGCCGGTGTGCCTGAGCCGGTGGGTGCTAGACTACCCGTCTGAAACGCCAAGTGCTGATGAATTATGCATGCAATTAGAGCACATTCTCTTTAGAGAGGAGCAGTTTCTTGCCATGCCTTATCCAGGGAATCCGCGGCATCTCCGGCGGCTGGAGGCATTTTTAATCATCAGAGTGGCTTTGTTACTGAAGCCTTTGAAGTACTTCTCTCTTACTCTCTGGCTGCTACTCTTTTCCCGTCTTGCCGCAATTAAGTTCTGCTCATTATTTTATATCAACTATCATTAGGTTTCTTTTACACAACCTGGGTCCATAGGAAAAGCAGCTCTGGTGGCACAGACGTTGGGTACTTGACTGCCAGTAGAAGCCATTCTATTCCGGCGGGAGAAAAACGTGGCCATCTGCTTTCCTGGGGGACCCCATGGGTAGCTGTACTCTGCCCTCTGGGGTCCCTGTGAGTCAGAATTGACCTTGGGTTAGTTCCTAAGCAATGCGATCAATACCTTAAGAAAATGGAAACTGAAAGCCTTCACCATTGCAGTGGAATCGGTCCGGACTCCCGGCAACAAGAACTGTGCCCCCTGCGGTTCCAGTGGTAGTAGATTCAGACGTGGAGCTCCAGGTCTTTTCCCCACCTCTGGGTGGACTTGAACCTCTAACCTAGCAGGTAGCAGCCAATCATGTTAATCATTTGAACCCCCACCAGGACCTTAGGAAAACAAAACAAAAAGAAGCAATCCACTTCAACCAAAGGCAGTGTGCCTTCACAGCCGGCTCTCACTGCCATCGAGCGGATGGATACTGACCCATGGAAAACTGCCCCCTGTAACTCTTGGCAGGAGGGGAGAGCCCCACCTTCCTCCCCGGGGAGTGGCAATTGGTTTTGAACTGCTGACCTTGAGGTTAGCAGCCCAGCTTGTAACCACAACACCACGGGTCGCCCTTCTCTACTCAGGCCAGAGTACAAGCCCAGAGGAGCCCAGGGAGGGTCAGGTCCCACTCCGGGCGACCCACGGGTGCAGAGTCGGAACAGTTCCATCAGGTTAGGACTGACCTTTCAGAAGGCGCTCGGGGACTGGAAGCCCCCAGCTCAGTTGTGGAGCACTGAACTGTGTGTGCTGCTCAGGACTCAGCACAGTTGGCACTCAGATAGTTAATAGCAAATGTTCCATCAAGACAGTGGTTAACACCAGTGTCGGGTACTATGTGCATTTTAGGGGCTAAGGCACAGACATTAGCTCTTTCATTTGCCTTTTCCTCCCAGCGCTTAATTAAAAAAATATGCAACTTCTTCACATTTGATTTCGCTTTGAAATATTTCGCTCCTAAGATAATGGAATAGCTTTAATCGAGTGTCTTAAACTTGCAGGGACTTGTGGCATCCATCTCGCCGTCTGCACTTGGAGCTAGTTTAGACTTTCATAAATCTCACACACTGAATTGGAATCTTATTTATTTCGCCTGAAAGGGTGTTTTTTTTTTCTTATAATGAATGTAGGTGAAAGCCTTTGATCAATTGTGCAGAATATGCTACTGTTCTTTCCCACACTTGATAAATTATCCAATTAATTTCTCTGTGTGAGAATGTAATGTTGGACCCATTTTGTTTATATAAGGCTTCAGGGCTGTTCCCTAAGGGCTGTGTAATTTTGCATATAAGCCTCTCAATTTGGAACCAAGAGCCTTTGACTGTACCCCTGGCTGACCGGAGACACGCACACTAGCTCTCTTGTGCCTCTGTGTGCCTCCTTATCTGCCTGTAAAGTGGGGAACAGACTTAGAAATTCAGACACCATTGCATATTAGTTCATGCGTATGAACCCTTGAGTCTCTTAAGAAAGCTGCTTTGTAAGGAAGTCGAGACCAAAGAAAGCAAAAAGAGCTGCCTACAAGTACTGGCTTTTGATGGCATTTTTCTGTGGATTAAGAAGCAACAAGACTGCATCAGTTTTGAGTTTTGGATTTTCTGATATTTGTTGACCATCATACTTGAAAGTGAAGTTTTAACACCAAACAATCTTACAATCATCTCAAATATAAGAAAATAAAATAAGAAAGCTGCTTTGTGCATCCAGGAAGGGGCTTGACCTTCTGGAACTCTGACAAGCTGCAGAATGAAATCTGACTTCTCGGGGAGCCTGCAGCATGCTGGGCCACGTGCCTTATCCACACACCTCCTGCCCCGGAGCATACACGTGTTTTCATGTTGTAAAGCCCCCCCAAAGCCAGAGCCTGGGTAAGGCAGAGCCCTGGCAGAGGAGGAATCTCCAAATATTTCCCACTCAGAAGGGAGATAGACAAGTGGCCAGATGCCTCCTTCAAAGCAGGAAACTGGAGAGACCCGGAAAAGCAAGGGGGTCCCATGGCTTTCCGCCTCTCACAGGTTTCACCTGTGCTTCAGCAAAGGGTGGGCAAGAGGCTGCTAACCACAGGAGGACAGGAAGCCAGGGTTCCACAGGAAGAGGGGGCAAGGTTGAAGGCCTCGCTCTGATTCTGTGAAACACTTCCCAGCTTCTCCCCCAGCTCCCCAGGCACCACGAGCCATCCCTGCCCCTGCCGTCCTCCTGGGCTTCCGTCCCTGGGGGTGAACACTGTGGCTTGGTGGGTCGTCCACGACATGCATCTAGCAGATACGATGGGCCTGGACCCTTCCAAGTCTCTGAATGTCTCAGGAGTTATCTCCCAGAGGAGCTGGGAGTTGGTGCCCATTACATCTTATGACGACGGGCTGCCGAGAATGGACCACAAGAGTCCCTGGAGCAGCACCTTCCATTTAGAGGGAAAGAAATGCCAGATTGAAGTGCTCACACGCCCCTCTGATCCCAGTGTCCTCCCTCTAGCCTGTATATTACGCTAAGGTCTTTACCAAAAAGTACTCATTAAAATGGACATTAAAATTCAAGTAACAGTCCAAGTGGGCTTTTTGTTCTGATAATAACTCATCTAATTCTAATGTGTCTGTCAGCTTGTCCTACGATGGTGCCTTGGGTGTTGCTAAGAGGCTGGAAGCTGTGCCACCGGTATTTCAAGAAGCAATAGGGTCACTCACCGAGGGCAGGTTTCAGCAAAGCTTCCAGACTCAGAAGCTGGGGGGAAAGGAATGAACTGTCCACTTCTGAGGAATTAATCACTGAAAACC